CTGGCCTCTGCTCACAGGCCTCTCCCTGCCCACCCATCGCGCTGGGCCCTGGACTCACTGTGCTCTTATCGGCTGACTTGTCCGTCTCCCATCAGACTGGAGAGCCCCAAGAGAAGGAACCTTGATCACTGTGTGTCCCCAGGGCCTGGCCCACCATCAGCCCCCAATAAATGTGTTGAGCAAAGAACTTTGCCGACCCGGGATTCGCATGAGGCTTACACAGATACCAGGAGTGACTGCCTTCACGGCCTGCTGTGTCTGTGGACGAGGAAGCTGCAGCTCAGGAAAGGGCACCCACCCAGGGCCGAGGTCAGCGCGGTAGACACCCGAGCCGCGGGGCCGGCGACCCAGAGACACACACATCCCAAGCCGTTCACACGGTCACCACAGCATGGACACGTGCAGCCTCACACACAGGATTCCATTCACACACTCATGTGCACGGACGCAAGGCCCTGCACACCCAGGGGTTCTGTCACACGCAGGTGCATAAACCGCTCACACCCGCATCCCACACCCATAAGTCGATGCACCCACAGCTCAGGCCAAGGTGACTGACTGCTCAGGCTGCCAATGGCCCTCCATCACCATGGCAACAGACCGCTCCAGCTCCGCTGTGCACCACAGTGGCGGTGGCGGGAAGGATGCAAGCAGTGTGTGTGGTGGCTGTGGCAGAGGCTTCCCAGAGCAGGAGCAGCCCAGCCTCCTTACAGATCCCTGGCACCAGCCCTTCCTGGGTACAGAGCAGCCCCCTCAGCCATGTGTGGGCTCTGCACCTGTCATCGCCCTCAGGGACATGGCTCCTGGCATGGCCAGGAACTTCACACACATTTCTCCCCCCAAGTCCTCGGTGTCCTCCCTGGATAAGTGCCGCCAGGGAACCCATTCTGCAGGCGGCAAACTGAGGCTCAGAGAAGGAACGTCTCCAGCTCAGGGTCACACAGCAGAAGGCCAGCAGGGAGGAGAAGAGGACCACTGCCCTGGCTCTACCTCAGCCAGCACGGCCTCCCCAGCAGTAGCCTGCTGTCCCCTCGTCCCACCTCTGTGGCCAGGGTGAGTCTGCCCTTGTGGGCACTCTTGGAAGGTAGTGAGAGCCCCATCATGAGTGGCATTCAAACAGGAGCTATCAGAGTTGCTATGGAAAAGGACCAGGAATCCTGGGGAAAGGGTTTGGATGAGATGGCCTCCCATTACTCTATGAATTGCAAATAACATAAAGTTATTTGGTGAACATAACTGGAAAGAAACTAGCTTCAGGAACAGCTGAATCCAGCTCTCAGACATTGCCAGAGCCTTGCTCTAGGTTTCCTTTTCGGTTGGGTTTGCTGTATTCTCAGCTCAGCTTTCCCCGGCCTGGGTGGCCCCCACAGCTCCGGTTTATATCACACAAGTTTAGCGGCCCCCAGGAGCAAGCTCCATAAGTTTTTGTCAAGTGAATGCTAAAGCACGGGTAAGGTTTGAGTCCCAGCGTCGTCTCTGGGAGAGCGGCCCCTGCACCTGTGGGCTGGTCCTCTGCGTGGAACAAAGCCATCTCTGAAATGTCAGACAGTGGACGTGACATCTTCTACGCACCAGCTGTGTCCTGAGCACTTTCCCAGCAGCCAGCTGGGTGGGGGCTTAGAACAGGATTTAAGTTGCTTTAAAGAAAGGAAGGAAGCAGGCTGTTTCTGGTGCACCTGGGGTTTCAGCAGGGTCTACACCGGGTACACACACCTGCTCCCCACCAAGGCAGGAGGGCTGCACACCTGTGGCCACGTCCCAGCACACGTGCACACACACACGTGTGTGGACGCCCAGGCAGCCCTGCTCTGTGGGCTTTCTCCTCGCAAGCTCCCAGAAAGCGTTGGCGGTAACCACTTCCTGTGCCCTCTGGTCTAGGCCAGAGGGAACCTTGGCCTTCTCCAGGGACAGGGTCAGCTCCACCCCTACCACAGAGGAGCTGTGGAGAGGACGGCAGAACCAGCAGCCCAGGCCAGGGCCAAGGGTCCAGCAGCTCTGGGCCTGGCTACCTCCCTCCCCTCTACCTGCCCCTGAGGGCCTGCAGGAGTGAACAGCACCCTTACACACTCACCCCCAGCTCTGGATGGGCAGTGGGCAGGGAGGGGGCCGTAGCCCTGGCTGGGCCTCTCCCTCTGGAGGCCCCAGCCAGTGCCCGTGACCCCCTCTTCCCACAGCTGCCGCCTCCTGGCTGAGCTGCATCGCCCCGTCTCTGCCCCCGTGTCATGTGGCCTCTCCCTGAGGGTGATGTCCCCTCTGCTCTCTCACAAGGACACTAGTGATGGCATCTTGGGCCCACCTGCACCACCCAGGACAACCTCCCCATCTCAGCGGGGAAAGACCCTTTTGCTGTTTATGTAAGTGACATCTGGGTTCCGGGGGTTGGGATGCCAGTGTCTCTGGGGGCAGTTTTCAGCCTGCCACTGCCAGCCACGTGGGATCCAAGCTGGACCCTGACACTCCATTTCCAGCTCCTGAAGCCGGCCCCGGCCTGGACCCACCGGCTGACCGAGGGGGGCTGGCGCAGCGATAGGCCTTGGCTCACAGCACCTGGCTCGCAGAGGTGGACACAAGGGGACTGGGCCCAGGTCACCCAGCACCGGGCGGCAGAAGCAGGCCAAGCAGGCCGCTCTGGTGACTCAATCACCCACGTTCTTAGCGTCTCACCAGGGTCCCTGAAGCCAGGCTTTGAGCTGGGCCTGGAGGATGGACAGGATCTGGGGAGGAGGAGGAGGGCGGGTGGGTTCTGAGAGTTGAATGGACTGGTCGGATTCTTCCCGACTTCCTGAAGGAGGTGTTCTGGGGGGTGGGGGCCTACTGGGCAGATTCCTCCCCTGGGGTCCCAGCCCCTCTCAGCCATTCGGCCCACACTCACCACAGCCAGGAGAGGGAGGGAGGCCACCCATGTGCACCTGCTCCACTGAGCAAAGGGGAGACTGAGGCGGGGGTCAGGCGGACGACGTGGCTCCCAACCCCTCCCTGGCCAGGGGTCACCTCCCATCTGACACCGCGGGCCAGGAGTGAGCAGCCCCATGCTCTCCTGCCCACCAGGCCCCCAGCCCCATCTTGGCTGGAGGAGCTTATCACTGATGACTTTCCAGACAGAAATCGATAGAAAACGTTTTATCTCCTTCCCCAGGGGCAGCAGGCCTGAGAGCAGAGCCCGCTCTGTTACTATGACGACCCTCCCGGCAGTCCTCCTCCCTCCCCTTCCTTTGGCTTCCATTCCCTCCCCCCTCCCCCGTTCCCCCTACTCCCCCCCCAGCTCTGGACAAGCATTCCCTCCCACCCTGCCACCTGGTGGCTGCAGTATTGCCAAATTGTGGGCCTGAGAGGGAGAGATCTGGGGGCTCCCACACCTGACCTGGGGACCCTCAGCTTCCACGCCATCTGGAGCCCAGCTTGGGCCTCGTCCCTGAGCCAGGCGCTGTCCCCAGTGTCTGTGGCCGCTCTCTGTCACAAAGCTCAGTTTCCCCACTGGACCATCCAAGGGAGACCAGATCCTCCCTGGCAGGCCCTGCGGGGCGCAGAGTGAGCCTGGACAGAGGTGAGGGAACGGCCTGTGAGGGGCTCAGAAAAGTAAGGGACCTGCAGGGATGGAGTTGGGAAGGGGATCGGTGGCCCTGGGATACGTGGGGGGTTAATACAAGCCAGGGAGGGACACGGGAAGGGAGCAACTGCTGAAACCAGGGCCAGGAGACAAGTTACAGAGGCTGCGACCGAGGGAGGGGCAAAGGGTCAGGTGGGCAGGACTCCACGACCCCCGGACCTGGGGGAGAACGGGGGAGGGGGCTGCCCCACTGAGGGTGATGAGCCCAGGAAAGTCACCGTCACCAGCGCCGTAACTGAGCACTCCCCGCCTGCCAGGGTCTGGATGCCCAGGGCTCGCTGCGCCTCGTCTCAGGCTCAGTCCTCCAGCCCTGAAGCTCTCATCACCCACGGTGGGGGGGGAGGCGGAGCCCAGACACAGAACCAGAACCGGGAGGCGGTGGGCGGGGGTGGGGTGGAACTGCTTTTATATAACAAAGTAGAAACTGTTTGGGGACAGCTTTTGTGATTCTTTTTTACTACTAAAAAGAAAAAAGGAAAGAAGATACATGTTTTATTAGTAGCTAAGCACTTTTATTTTCAGCACTGGTAATAACAAAAAACCTGGAGGGCCTGAAAGGGTGGCGAGTCTACCCCTCTGTTTAGGAAAGACGGGTGAACTGCAGACCCCTCCGGACAGAGCTCGCGCACTGAGAGCTCAGAGCTGGAAGGGCCTGTGACCCGGTGAGGTTTGTATGCAGGGTGATCACTGAATATTTTTAGTTGGGGTGGAGGTATTTAGGTTTATTCATTTATGTGGTTAATGGAGGTACCGGGGATTGAATCACCCAGGACCTGAATCTCTTTCGTACCTTCTTGATCATGTTAAGTGCTTCACCATCAAAAATCGGGAGTCACTGGTCCTCCCCACCATCCGCTAAAGCTGGTCTGAAGCACCAAGTCACATTCATCCACATACAGGGATCACTGCCCTGCAGCCAGCCCGAGTCCCCTCCAGCATATCCTGCGTCTGTCCCCACAGCCCCAAGAAGGGAAGCCTCCTCTCCCTTGAGGTGGTCCGAGCCTCTGAACTGCTCTAATGGTGGGAAAGTTCTTCCTCATCAAGAGCCAGAATGCTGGGGGTGGGGGGGCGCAGAGCACAGTGGTAGAGCACATGCTTGGCATGCACAAGGTCCTGGGTTCAATCCCCAGTTCCTCTATTAATAAATAAATTAATAAATAAACCTAATTACCTTCCCCCCACCAAAAAAAAAAAAAAAAGAGCCCCAATGCTGCACTGGGTCCTGCCACCTACAAACACACAACCAGCATGTTAGCCCACAAGGCCAGGGTAGCCCTACAGATCTGTGAAGAAGTCATGCCCCTGCTCTCCTCATCCTAATTTCTCTTCTCCAGGTAAAGCAGCTTCAGTTCTCTTTGACACAAGTGACAGAAAACAGATTTAGACTGGTTTCTGCAAACAGGTCAATTTATTGGCTTGTGTGTAATTGAAAGTCCAGAGTGTCTGAGCTTCAGGCATAGCTGGATCCAGGTGCCCAGCTGGTGTCTCTGTGTGTGGTTCCGCACTGCTTTCCTATAAGACTGACTTTATTCTCAGGTCCACAACTAACCAGCTTAGCACCCCCTGGAGGTTCCAGCAATGCTCAAGGCTTCTAGCAAAACTGCCAGAGGGCTTGGATCATGTGGCCATCCTTGGGTCCATCACTGTGGCCAGGTAAATGGGGCACTTTGATTGATAAAACCAGAATCACACGAGCATCTCTGCAACCCAGAGGTAGTGTTGGTGGAGGCTGAACCACATGGGCTGAAAGTGGGAAGGAACAGCCCCCCTCCCCAGGAAAATCAAGGTGTTATTACCACCAAAAGCCAAAGTGTCTGAGGTGGAACAAAGGCTCTGTAACGGAGACACACAATGGCTGAGACGAGTGGAAATCTGCCCTTCCCTAACATAACTCTGATGCAACCAGTCCTGGGCTGATCCAGCTAATTCTGACAACGGGGCCCCAGCAGCCGCACACTGGTTATCCGTGTTGGCAGTAAAAGCTGTAAAAACACGACCACATTTGCTACTGTCCTGGCCATTTACAAACTTAGCTCCCGCTGCAACCTTCCCACCCAGTTTAGCGTTGGAATTTCTATCAGGTTCACTTATGCAAGTCGGTGACAAAGGCCTTCTTCACATCTTGCCAAAGTCGTAGAATTTCTCGAAGTTGCTGGGAGGGATGTCGGAGAACCCCTGGGTCCCGCACACGGTGGTGGACATGTCGAGGCCCTGTCCGGCTGCGTCAGCCCGCCTCAGGAACGAGAACCCCCAGCGTGAAGGACAACGTGGCGTTTCACAAAGTGACTGAACGTCCCCAGACTTAGCGGCCTGAAGAGCACAGGGTACATGGTGCAGACTGTGAGGAAGGAGTTAGTCCTCCAAGGGCCCAGGAAGGACGGTCAGAGGTTTCTGTGGGAAAACCATGCCGCCTCCAGTTAACTTTTCTGCATTCTAATTTATTAGCATGTTAACCTAAGAATTTGCCCATGAACCCATATTTTGTTGCCCGGAAAAATAAGAAGCAGGTACTTTCATAGCATCAGTGTCTTTTTTTTTTCAAAATCAAATTCCAGCTAAACTTGTTTCTTCAATGGCTTGATTCCCATTTGCAAGGGGATCTGTGGTCAAAGTGGCTTTTTTCTTGGGAGGATGAGGCCTCCAGCAGGGTTGGGAAGTCCACCCACGGAGGTGCAGCTAGAGACTCGCCAAGAAGCCCTTTTGCCTTCTGTTGGATGAGCCCCTGACAAGCCAGTCCCTGGGGTACAGGACTCTGTCTCCAGGTAGAGCACCCTTTCCCTGTCTTCCAGCCTGTGGGGCTCTCTCTGCCCCACCCCCTCCCCAGAAGGAGTCTTGTCTCCTTTTGACCTATGAGAAAACCGAGGGGGAGTTCAAGGCCAAGGCTATTGATGCAGACATCTTCAGACCCCTGGGGAGGTGGGGAGGATATCTCAAACTCCAGTGCCTTGCAGGGGGAGTCGGGTGATTCCACTATGAGCATAGCTAGCGGTGGGGCCGCAAAGATATGGATTCCTTAAAGGTATTTCAACTCCAAAATCTTTAAACACTATTCTGTGCTCCAGTCAAGGCAAGGCCGACAGCCTGGATTCATGGAGCTTCCAGTTTGGCCAACACTGTCTACTGGGTGTCCGTGTTGGGAGCAGGCCCACTCCCACCTTACCTCCTAGCTGCATCCCGCCCAGGATGGCAATCAGGGTGTCAGCAGAAGTCTCCTGGTGGCCGGCTCTGCTGCCTGACCCCCGACTGTGGCCCGTCCTCCTCCGAGAAGCCCCTTGCCCAAAGCAGAGTGAGCACTTGCTCAGAAGCCTCCTCTGGCTATGTCTGGATATGCAGCCATCTGAAGAAAGCCCAGGATCACCCTCCAGAGCTCAGCTCACAGGCCACCTCCTCCAGGAAGCCTTCCCTGAATTCCTTGACAGGACTATGTCACTACACTTTGGGTTTGGGCTCCACAGCGTGTTTTTCAGAAATAGATTTACATTACAACCCAGAGCTTAACTCATTGTCTGACCCACAGTGGGCACTCAATTCATATGCACGGGACAGAATAAACTCACCTGTTGTGTGACCTTGGGTGAGTGACTTACCTCTCTGAGCCTAGATTCTTTCATCTGTAAAATGAGTGATGATGAGGGAGAGTTAAGAGAAGGCATGGAGTGTGCTGCTGAACAATGGCTCACAAAGATATCCGGGTCCTCATCTCTAGAACCCATCAATGCTCCTTTATGTGGCAAAAAAAAAAAACAAAGGAGGGGGCGGAGAGTCTTGCAGGTGTGATGAAATTAAGGCTCTTGAGATGGGAGAGTCTCCTGGATTCCAGGGGCCCTGAAGGAATCACAGGGACCTGTAAGAGGAGGCAAGAAGGTAAGGGAGGGAGCAGAGGATGTGACAACAGAAGCCATTATTTCTTTGCCTTTTCTGGCTTCCAGAGGTCGCCAAGGGGTCACAAGGTACGAAATGCAGGTGGCCTCCAGAAGCTGGAACAGGCAGGACTCTCCCCGGGAGCCTTCAGAGGTGCAGCCCTGCCGACACCTTGACCTCAGCCCGTTGACGCTGGTTTGGGACATCCGACCACCAGAACTGTACAGAACAAATCCGCGCTGCTGTAAGCCACTGAATCTGTGGTCACTTGTCACGGCTGCCCTAGGACTCCCATACACGCACACCGGCTGCTCCCAAAAGGCAGTTGTTAGTATCCTCCCCCAGGGAAGCCCCTCTTCTCGCAGCCGCTGAGGTGCCTGGTGCAGGTCTTGCCTAGGCCCTCCCCAGACACTGGACACGGCAGGGGCTAGAAGGCCTCAGATGTGTGAAAGGGACCGTCCCCACTCGTCTGGCCTGTGACCTGAAGCACCAACAGTATTCACAGCCTCTGGCTCTGGGCTAAATGCTCCACACGCCTTTCCTCATTCAGCCCTCCCGGAGACCCCAGGAAGGAGCTGCTATGATTACTCCCATTTTACAGACGGGACTGAAGCTTAGCAAGTGAACTGGTTTTTCCAAAGCCACCCAGCTGGGCACAGAGGAGCCGGACTTAGAAACCAGGTCTGTCTCTCCGAGAAGCTGTGCTTAAAACTAGCTTGAAACAATGCCGCTCACCCTCTGACCCCGCTTTTGTCTGGCCCTTAACATCACCCTGGGTGGTGGGTGGCTGAGCTGGTGGGAAGGGCTCTGGGTGCAGGGCTCTATCATGTTAGCCTGAGACCCTGGACAGATGACCACCACTCTGTGCCTGTTTCCTCATGAACAAAATGTGACCGTCTGCCTCACAGAGGGGCTGTCAGGTCAAATGGACAATGTGTGGAGGGGTACAGTCCTGTCGCAGAGCAAGGGCACCGTGTCCCCTGCACTGCCTTACCTTACAGAGGAGGAAGCAGAGGTTCTGTAGGGGAACTTGCCCCCAGTCCAGGTCACCTGGGAGCTCTGACACCTTGACACCCCTCCTGCACTCATAGGACCAACAGACCCCAACAGAGGCTGGGTGGGAATGGGAGGCGTTCTGCCTGAGCTGTGCAGAGTGGAAGCCTTGGGGTGGCAGTTATTAGTGAGTCTGTAAGTTCACAGCAGGTTCATTCACTCATTCATTCACTATTCCTCTGCTTAAGCTCTGCCAATGGCCCTGGAATTGCATTCAGATTCCCACCAGGCTCTGGAGCCCTGAAGACCTTGGCCCCCACATGGCTCTGCCCTCAGCATGTCCACTGCTCCACCAGTTGCTGGTTAGGCATCAAGCTTTCTCTTGCCTCAGGGCCTTTGCACTTGCTCTTCCCTTGGCCAGGAAGGGTCTTCCCAGCTCTACGTGGCAGGTTCCTTCCTGGCAGTCAGTTCCACACTCACTGGGCCTCCTCCTCTCACACCCAGCTAAGTAGCCCCTATTCCTCACTTCACCTGCTAGTTTTCTTCCTAGCACTTATTACTCTCTGAAATTATCTTCTTTGTGTATGTAAGCGTTTGTTTGCTGCCTGTCTCTGCCCACCAGGATGCCAGCTCTATGACGGCAGGGACCACTTGTCTCTGCTGATTCTGCGCCCGGGAAGGGGCCAGTAAGTAAAGAAATCCATGCCCTTTGTGGTCGGCATGTTTCCCAGACTGTAAAGACGAGGTCACAGGGAGGGCTCGTGGTGGGTGAGGGTGGGAGCGTAGCCCAGGGACCCGGCCAGAGACTGAGAGGCCATGGGGGCCGGTG